TCAGCCATCCATACCGCTGACCCACCGCTGTTTGCTCCAAACTCCAGTACCGTACGAGGCTTGACATCCCAGAACAGCTGTTGATAGGTGACGATTATAAAAGGGCTTTTCATTAATATACATCCACGCCAGCGAGTTTTATACTTTCCTGAAAATAATGACAATAACAAATAACATCCCATGAACGAAGTTAATAAAAATAATAATATTTAAGATAATTATGATGAGGACGAGGGCGAGGACGACGACGATGATATGACGATGTTGAAAATAGCAATAGCAATATTAATAGCAATAGTAATAGTAATAGAAATAGCAATACCAATAATAATAGCATTACCAATTATAATAGCAATACTACTAATAATAGCAATACCAATAATAATAGCAATAGCTACGTTTTTGTTAGGGAAACAATAAATCCCATTCCATTATTGAAGACTGCGTTTCCATTCACAGTCGTTTCCCATTTTCCCAGCCCAAAATGAGGTGATTTATCTCATCATGACCCTGATTCATACCAAAACAGATAGATTTCCAGGCATCCAACGTATAGGCGCTTTTATCAGTCCTGTCCTCTAGCTTTTGCAGTTGGTGTTCCTTGGATACTTCATCCTGTACCTTAACGTTTAAGGCCTCGTAGTTCGTAGCATCGTTCATTCCTTGATGCATGATTGCTATCACCATGGGGATAGAGAGACACTCAACCTATAACATTCCCGAGAGGGTTGTTTACCTACAATTTACTTAGTTCATATTCTCTATATAGTCTCTATATAATGATCTATATTAATTATACCTGAAATCTTATATATTATACCAAGTGGGACACCAGGACAATGGGACACCATAACATCTCTATATACTAAGCTTATATCTTAGTCTGTTGTATCAGGTGGATGCCAGCACCCTGGGTCACCTCAGCTTCTGTCCCAAGTCAACCCAAGTCAGCCAAGGACAACATATCATCTCTATATACATAGCTTATATCTTAGTCTGTTGTATCAGGGGGGATGCCTGGACACTGGGTCACCTCAGCTACTGTCCTGGGTCAACCTGGGTCAGCCAAGGACAACAT